GCGGGAAGATCAGACATTGACAAATGTTGATTTAAAAAAAAAAAACAAAAAACCAAACAAAACCCAACCAAATCACCAAACAAATAAAACACCTAAAACAATGCTTCAGTCTAGTCAGAGAGAAAAAGTTGAGTTCAGGTCGCCAGAAGGAAAAAAATAGATTCTGACTTGAATTTACAGTCACAAGAGGTGAAATTGTGGCTGTCGGGAGCACTGATGGGGGTTATCCTGAGCCACCCATGCCCGGGGACTCCGCCACACCTCTCCGTTGCAGTCTCCGTCTCCTTAGGCAGGTGATGGTCTTAACGTGGGGGGATCTTCGGTGGAGGGAGGGAGAAAATCTGGGCTTGATTCTGGTCTCGGTTTTGTTGCTTTGGAGAAGTACCAGCAAATCCAGTCAGCCTCGACTGGTGATCGTACAACCGAGATGAAGCTTCACCCAGTGGGGTGGTGGTAGGTGTCAGGGGAACAAGGCTTCCAAGGAAGGAGCTCTCAGGATGAAGTGTTCTGAGTGAAGGATGTGACTAGAAATATTTTTTTCCTCCAAAACTGCTTTTTTTTGGGAAGGTTTTCGTATCTGCCAGTGCTTGGAAGACCAGAGCAGTAGCTGGTAGCTAGGGCGAGCAGTCAGTGCTTGGGATATTTCTCTTCCAACTCCAGCACACGGCTGCCGTTGCTGGAGCTGGGGCGAGTTCTCTCCCTGTTAGGTCTCCCCCCGCCCATCTGGAGATAATCGCGCTTACCTGCTTTTGCAAGATAGTTTTGGGCGATGCAAAGGGTGCTGTGGAGGTGCAGAGCACCGCTCCACCTTCTGAAGAAGGACTTTGGGGAAGGAAACGGTGCTAGACAGCATTTTCACCTTTTAGCCGAAATACGTCGGACTTGGCTTTTGGAGTGGAAAAGTGAAAAGACGATAGCCTAAATAAATAGTATTTTCCCTCTTAAGCATGTGAGGTTGTGCGGGGGTTTTTTTATTGTCGTTATTTTTTATTCATGGTTCTTTGCGCTGATTCTGGGAATTGTACTGACTGTGGTTATGTTTCTGGCACTGTGCAGGTTGGCCAGATGCAGTGGGGCATGGAGTGAACAGAAAGAGGTTAAATTGATGGATGACCAACAAGAGCAGGATTGTGCCTCAGAAGACCAAGAAACTATCCTGATTAATGGGGTGAAAGAAAATGGTAAGGAACTTAATTACAGTACATGAGGGAGCAGCGGCAACTTGGAAGCCAACTTGTTTTCCTAATTCCTTTCATGTGTTTAATTTTAGCGGTTTGCAGGTATCTCTGCAATGTGGAGCAGTAGGGTAAACGGGTGTTTTCTGCACAGATGCCACTTCAGCCATGAATCTACACCTTTCTTGGTCTGAATAAGTACTGCTTTTGCCCATGTATCTGCATGGTTGGAAACGTTTCTGTGCACATGCAGTTTGGATTATGGATTTTAGTTTGGTTTCTTAGGGGAAAAGGTCATGCAAGACCACGTAGCCCCTCTGTCTGTTTGGAACCTTCCCCTCTCTTTGCAATTACTCATGAACCCACTAGCGAATCACAGCAAAATTTGAAGGATACTTAGTCCCTGCAAACTGGGGAAAAATTAGAGCTTGGGTGGAAGAAACAAACCCGGATTAGCGCTCGTGGAAAGGGAAGGTCGGACTTGTGAGCTCGTTATTGCCGTTTCTGTGTGGCCCATCAGCCAGCACATGGAATTCCCTGGCCCGTAGGCCGGATCCCCTGGCCACGGTCATGCTTCTGGGAGCCACTAAGTCATTCGAGCTTCCATTGACATCGGTGGGGAGGGGTCAGCCCCTTCCAGCAGCCTGCCCAAAATTCCTAACTTTGTCTGTATCTATTTAATTGTTGCCATATTTGCTTTCACAAGCAGTAACTAATTAGGAGTAACAGCGCTCTGCTGCCTGAAAACCCGATTGAAATGACGCCTCTGAGCATTTTCTCAAGTCGTTTGGACTTAGTCGCCACAGCAAATGCGGCGGCAGTCCAGCGTTGAGGCAGAGCTTCACATTTTCATTCTTCACCGTGGTTTTATGTTTGATTTGATGGCTGTTTCCATTTTGTATTGGCCTACAAATCTTGAGAGAGAGAGATTTATTTATACATCAATTTGACCCTATGGGATATCGAGGACTTGGTCCTCGGGCATCTTGTACGTTCAAATCCTTCTGTCATCTCCAAACAAGGTGCGTAGAGGCAAACGTGGTTCATTACCGAAAAGCTGGGGCCACTCCAGACACGCGGGTGCCCATGAGGACCCCGCAACCTGTGCTGGTGGCAGGTGAAGGGTATGCTTGCGCTTGGCCCAACGATGTCACTTTGGAGGTATCTGTCAGCCCACCTCCTTCATGTCTACACTGGTCACGCCGCAGCTGGTGGCAGCCACTGGGGCTGCAAGGAGGTTCTCTAGGCACGGTCCCCTTGTCTAATCTAGCAGTCAGTGCTTACCTGCTCAGTAAAGATGGGTGATTTCTAGAACCTGATAGCTCTTCCATGAAATTCAATTAAACAGGGCTTAAAAAGCGCTTTAATTAAACATCGTTGTGTAGGAGTTGCTGCTGAATCCAAAGCGGTGAGCCGGCAAGCCGCTGTGGTGCCGCCACCTCCCCGTCGATGGCACCGGGGATGGGGCTGAGGGTTTTTGCCTCCCCTCACCCTACACACGGGTGCTGCAGCAGTGAATCCAGAGCAGCCCTTGGGCTGCTGCAGTGCCCAGTTAGGGACTGGCCTCCCTTCGGAGGTGAGCGACAGCAGGATGGTTCGGTGTTTTTCCATTCAGGCTGCCCATGGATGGCTGTTGAGTTAAACTGGGAAAGGTTTTTTTGCTTCTCCAGCATTTTCTTTTTTAACTGTAGTCTTTTGGAGCAGTGTTTACTTTAGAGCATCAATTGAACGTGCGCCTGATTTTAGGATGATACAAGCCCTTGAAAATCTAGTTTTGGCATTTGTATTTCACAGGAGTTAAGTTCGCTTACACAAATATAAACCTAAAGAAACACCCAGAGACAGTTTATTTTATATAATAGCAGCTCTGCGTATTGAATGCAGTATTTGAGATTGAATTTCAGCTTCCTACCTCCCCATTCTTCTTTTATCCTCAAATTTTCCATGCCTCCTGTCAGCTCCAAGCTGATTTTTATTTTATTTTACTTCTGAAGTGGAACTGCACTGGTTAATTTGTTTTGGGGCTTAAGGAAAAAGATAACCACCTCTGCATTTCTGATCTAAAAACTGGTGGGAGGGACTCAAAAATCAGCTTTTTAAAATTTTTTTTTTAACCCTTTTTGAGGGAAGGGAAGCAGCACAGATTTCAAGCAAGTCAGTCTGGTCTTTTCCAAGCCATGCACGTTGAAGATAATTACAGGCAGGGCATTGGTTTGATTTGTATCGTGTTTGGAAAGTTGCTTAAAATCCTTAGAGCGCTGCAGGGCTCGGACTGGAGCTTGCTTGTACTGGCTTAAGACTTCACCGATGGCTCCCTCCCTAAAGCCCCTGTAGCACAAAACTGCCGGGAGCTTTTGGGATCAAATTAGGGGGATTTTGGCCTCCTCGAAGTTTTACGCTTGGCAGAGGCAGGCAGCCCTCGATGGCATCCCACCCCTTCTTATATTGCCCGCCTGCCGGTGGGAGCCCTGCTCCGCTCGGCACGGTGGGTGTTTCATCGTGCCAGTGGTACGGGTGCCTGCGTGAGCCTTCCTGTACCAGCTGGTGTCGCTTGGCATAGGTGCAGGAGGAGACTTGCTTGTCTATCAGTTTGGAATAAAAGCACGTGTGGAGGGTCGCAGCAACCGTGTAGGTGCCAGGTGCCTTCGGGTGCCCCATTTCTTGTGACAGCCTGGTGCTCCAGTTGCTTGTTAAGCTTTCCCAGGAAAGCTTGCACTGCTTCTGCTGTCGTCCCCGCAGCCTTCGGTGGAGCCACCGAGAAGGTAAGATGTGAACCGCTACAAAAGCAGCGGGCTCAGCTCTGAGTCAGCAGAGGTCTCGGGCTGGTGTGAACGCACGCGTCGGGATGTGTTTTTTTAATACAGAGATATCAGAGCGTGTTCGTGGATGAAAAGACGTCGTATTTAAATTCCAAGGGTCATGTCGTCCGTTGAGCTAGAAGTCAGATAAAAGTACGTTCGTAACTTTGTTCTGCCGTAAAAGAGCGCAACGAGGTAAAAACAAAAAATACTTGGGTTAAAAAAAAAAACCCTTACATGATTAAAAAGGCATTTTTAGAGATTAGGGAAGAATGGCAAAACCCACAATAATTCTAACAGGAATTGCTTTAATATCTGCTTCTATTTTCCCTTGGCATGGACAGTGACAAAAAGACTACTGGCTTTTTAAAAATAGCCCTAACTTTCTGACTGTCGAGCAGTAACACAGTTCAGGTATGTTTAAGCTGCGGACACCGCAGGGGGGGTGCTTTGTTTCTTTAAGAATCTTATTTTTCCATTAGTTTTTTCAGTGTTAATGGGAACATTTTTATTAAGCTTGTTTTGTTTTTTAATAACCTTGTCAGATTTGAAAGGCAGTATCCAGGTAACGGTATGTATATGAGGAGGAAAGAACGGATGGTTTGGGGTTTTTTTAAACGTACTGGTGTACCTCTTCCGGCTGGCTGCAGGGGGGAGAGTGTTCACCTCTCCCTTCCTTGCCCATCACCACGTTAATGAGATCCCAGGGAAGGATCATGCTCTCGCGGGAAGGGCCTTCCCCAAAAAAAAAACACCCCGCTTCCCGAAGGAGCGGTTGGGAAAAGCCACCACCTAACCCGCGGGAGAAGGGGAGCAGGGTGGCAAGCCCCAGCGGAACGGCAAGGGTTGTAAACCCTCTCTCTTTTTCTTTCTTCTCTCCCTCCCTTTTCCTTCCCCCGCCCTCCGCCAGAATCGCACGCCCTGGACGGCGATGAGAGGCCTTGCACCGCCGCCGAGGCCGCGGTCCCGTTCTCAGCCCTGACGGCAGCTCCGAAGGAAAGCCACGCGTGCCCCCGGGCGCTGCCTCCCCTGACGTCGAAGAAGCCCTGCTTGCTGAGCCCCCCGTCACCCCTGAGGCTCACGGATGTGCCCGAGCACGCCTCGGATGACTCCTCCGCCCACGCCATCTCCCTCACGTCCTGCGTGACAAAGGGCATGAGCTCCTGGTCGCTGCCGGGCGACTGCGAGAAGGCTCCCTTCACCATGATGGAGCCCGGAGGCATGTCGGCGTTGACGGGCGACTGCTTGATGCAGCCGAGCCGGACCTGTCTGGGCTGCTTTATTGAATCAAAGGACGGCATTGATGCAGAGCCGGGAATAAGCTTGAAAGTGGGGGATATAAATAGGGATTATGACACCTGTTCGGTTTCTGATATAGGGATTCACTGCATGAGCACAGGAGAAACCATGAGATACGGGGATCAACTGCTTTCAGACCAGCTTTTAAGCTTCCCTATGCATAAATCGAGGGCAGCGGACAAAAGAGATGCAGAAAAATCTGACAGTGATTCAGAGGACCCCACTCAGAAAAATTATTACGAGGGATTACTATTAGACAAGTGCAATGGTGAGGAACCTTTACTAACAAATCCCAACCAGGAATGGGGCTATTTTGAATCTTTCATTAGTGAAAGTAAAATTGAGCTGCTTGACCTCTGCTCCAAAAATGAGCTTTCTGTAAATCTGTTTTCTGAGGAAGACGTGGATAATTACATGTTCGATGACGACGATTCCACCTTGGGAAGCGATGTCTGCTCCCTAAAGATTAGATACGAATCTTTCCAGGACAACGTGCGGGAGAAGACGACCACCTTACAAGAGGACGCCCAGTTCAACTTCTTCCCCAGCGTGTTCAGCAACTGCACCAAAAGGGACAGCAGGAGCACCCTCAAAAGGGGGCCCAGCGGTGCCACCGACCCTTCTCAATTCAAATCTGAGGAAGGCATCATCTGGGGGGAGGAGGAGGAGGACGGCGAGGAAGAGGACGGCGAGGAGGAGGAGAAAGCTGCCTTAAATAAATCTTGCAACAGCACGGAGATGGTGCAGTACGTGGGCTCCAAGAGGAGCCACTTCTTGGACTCGGTGAATTCCACGGAGGACTCTGGGGAGTTCAGTGATGACAGCACGTGCACAGAGTCCTCCTACGACGTGCTGCGGGATATCAAGGACTGCAGCCGGTACCTGTCCCGGGACCACTCCAGCTCCTTCATTCAGCAGAACTACGGCTTGCGGGCGAAGAGGAAAGTGCGATACAGCGACGACTACCTGTACGACGTGGACTCCATTGAGAACGAGAAGATCCTGGACAAGAAGGAGTGGCTCCCGGACGGGCCCAAGGAAGAGGACGACGACGAGTGGTGCCCCAAGAAACGGCGAAAAGTCTCTCGCAAGGAGCCCCCCGTTATCATCAAGTACATCATCATTAACAGGTTCAAAGGGGAGAAGCATATGCTGGTGAAGCTCGGCAAAGTGGATGCCAACGAGACAACTGTTACCCTAAACGAGGAGCTGCTCAGCAAATACAAGAAGCTGGCCCCACTGAAGGGCTTCTGGCAAGAGAGGCAGCAGAGCCGGCTGGATTTGCTCAGATCGTCTCTCTACCACAAGCAGAATTTCTATCTTAACGGCTCAGATGCTTCGTTCCTCCCTCACCCACGGAAGCGAAAATGCAAGCTAGCAAACAGGCACCGGATTCAAAGAATTAAAGCCATCGAGCAATCAGTGAACAAGCTGGGCTCTTGCTCCTCTGATCACAAGCAGCCTTGCAGCAGTAAAGAGGACGCGGGCCTGAAAGGGCTGCCGGCGTTAGCCATCGCCACCCCCAGCTGTGCCAATGGATTACACGTGCATGACATCACGGGCATCGCCGCTGTGAAATGCAAATCGCAGGAACGGGAGCACAAGGGGACGGAGAGGAAAGTGCTCCGCAGAATCAAATTCAAAAGTGAAGCCAGGTTGAAGTGCAAGAAGATCAAAGCTGCTACCAGTACGGCGGAGGGCTCCCCGGCGCTGGAAAACCAGGACTCTGCAGCGCGTCTGAAGGACGAAAACGTTCCTTGTGCTTCAGACAGCTCCCAGCTCCCGGAGTGCCACGAGGATAAGGTTGCTAAAAATTCTCCTTTCCTACCATCCACCTCCTCTTCAGACAAGCCTCTGCCATCTGCTAATATCACCACCAATGTACCCCTGATCCCCGGAGGGTATCTGCAGACGTTGTTAGATGCTTCTGATTTGTCGAGCAACACCGGTATCTCATACTTCGCCCAGCACCCCTCCGAGCAGCAGCAGCAGCAGCAGCAGCCGCAGCAGCACGCCACCCTAGAGCTGCTGCCTCCACCAGCTGCATTCACAGAGGTCAAAATGAAGATGGGAACCAGCTGGGGGGCTTAGT